TTACGTTAATTTCAATATTGGAAGTTTCTCAGTGCTTGTGAAAAAAATTGTTATACAAATTTTATGTACCCCCTTTAAGGGGCTGTATTTTAACAAGGAATGCTCCAATGACGTTTCTTTATATGAAAGATCCTATCTTTTTTTCTATAAGGAATCACCTCCTTAAATGTTTTACACTTATTCAGTTACACCCTGTATGTTAGTTTCTGAAAACAAAGTGACTCTCTAGTTAGTTTTTTTAAATTCTACAAATATTTTTGTGATAACTTTCCAATATGCTTTGACATAGTACGTTCCCAATTTTTGATGTTGCCACACAGTATACGACAAACGAAACCTATATTGACTGTGTTATATCGTTGAGCTGATACATTATCAACGAGTCATTCATCAATTTGTTTAGATTTCAAATAATCTAACGACATAGAAACGTACCTCCCAGGTGCAAGATTTTTACACCCGCACGAAAGAGAAAAGCCGCATAAGGGTGCCCTGTTGAGCACAGAGTTGCCCTTATTACTCAGTATTTAAACTATTTGATGCAGCCTTCAGTTAACGGAAATGCCGGCTGAATTACTACCAAACAAATCATCGGTTTGTGAGAAGGATGAATATGATGCATTTCATTACAAATAAATACACGGGTATCGGTTTCACAACAAGAATTGCGTTCAAGTGATTGCAAATACGTGAAAGCAATGACTAGTTCGATTATTTAAATTTTTCCACAAATACAGAATTGTGGTTATTTCAACGATTATGAAATTCTATGCAAGATAAATTTATTATTATCAGTACTATCTTACCTCCAATTTAACATAGCTGATAGTTATCAAAAAGACACAGGGTGTAGCAGGATTCCTCGCGTTTTGGCATATAAGTAATGTTTGAATACATATTACACTTCAAAGTACTGAATCTTAACGAATAATTTTTTGCAATATCATGAAAAAGCACTACATAAGCTATATACAGATTCTAGCTCAAAATCTCATCCTTTTTCTAATGGTGCTTCATTTTAGGCATTTTCGGACCTCCGAGCAGAACCTTGTAGAACACCCAACATTTATAAACCACTGGACTTGTTCAAACGTAAGAGTTTTTGATTTTTTGGGACTATAACTTTCATACTAGTGGTGTAGGATGTGCATTCGTAACGAACGAGACCGCCTGTGCATTTTCTTTACATGAAACTGCCACTATTCTCACTGGAGAACTTTATGCCATCTATAAAGCTATCCGAGTGAACCCGAACAAGACTCAGGCGATAACCATGGGAAGATTGCTATCTTCTCCGGCCAGAAAAGTGAGAATCTCTGGAAGGGAGATTGACTGGCAAGCGCGGGTAAAGTACTTCGGCCTTCTAATAGACCGTAGGCTCACTTGGAACCCGCACATCATGTGCCTTAAATCAAAGATCAAGCGTCGGATAGCTAGTCTGTACGCTCTGATCAATAGAAAATCAAAAATGAGTCTAAAGAACAAAATGACCACCTACAATACGATGTTCAAGCCTGTCATCATGTATGCTTCAGGCGTCTGGTGACAAGCGGCTCCGTCTAACATCTCTATACTGGAGAAATTACAGAATAAGTGGATACGAATGATTGATACGTGGTTCGCGCGGAATGAAGCCATCTGCAGAGATTTGCAGCTGCCTTCCATTCAAAAGTCCATTCAGTCCTTCCGATATAGAAGGCCCCGACACTGTCGAATGAGGCCCTCATGTCCACCGTTAACGGGGGACATGAGATTTTTCAGATACAGATTTTTCATCCATCCCACCTCAGCCAGGTAGGGGTACCCAGTGAATGGCGGTACTGATGTCTGAGGACTTCATGCCTCCAAAGTCCCCTCAGTCATGAACCCATTTGTCCCCAGCTCCCAGGAGAGCTGGGTTCCAACCTGAATGAATTGAAGTAGCTTGGTCAGCAAGAACTTTAAATGTGACTTCAAATAAAACGCGTGAGCTTTAAACAATACTGTTTTTTGGTAACCAGGTGATTCGGCGTCACCTGACATGGCCACTTCACAGCAAATGCGATAACATGAAAATAGTTAACTGAAAAGAGATGTCAAAATGTGTTTTTATAGAAATGTTGAATGCATCTATTTTATTATGAAAACAGGACAGTTGTACAAAAAACTTGTTATGGTATTTGTGTTGAAACTCGTATCATAGCTATTTTCTACACGTTTTTCAGAATCCAGTAAGCTTCGCTCATATTTTAAGGAGCTTTATCTCTGTTGAACACGAGTTTCAATTCGTGAACTAGACTAAGACACCCTCATAGAGGGCGCGCGGTATCTGCAGAGCGAGTATAGTTGATAACTAATCAACAAAAACACCATGTCAAAAAATATTTCATAATAGATTAAAATTCCATTCCGATGTCTGAAACAACATAATGAAAACAATGAAAAAATAAATATATTTTTGGCGCTAAAGACGAGTAACGTCATGTTTCTTTTATAAGTGGCGGAGTGGCGCCACCGGTTTTTCTAGTGTTTTATCACAAATCGTGAATCATCAAATTAATTCAAATTAAATCCTCACGATTATCAACATCCCGTTTTGTTTGATCAAAGCCACTACTTCGACACCCACCGTTATTTCAATAATTGTAGCCGTACCGAAAAATAATTGCACGCCACACAATTTGATCGTTCGAATGCAAAAGCATCGAGTCATTATTTTTTGTTTACATTGCGCACCGGTGTCATTATTCCATGTTTACCTTTTTGTTGGGCGACAGCTTATCTTTCCCTTTTTTATCTACGAGGTGACTAACTGTTATTTTAACAAACAGCTGAGGACCACTTTCATATTGTTTATAGCCAAGATGGAAAAAATGATTGACTGATGAAGAAGAGACACAAATTCTGATGTACATTATTGTTACATGTCTAATCCAATACACAGGGTGTTTATATGGAGATACGGAGCGAAAAAGAATTTCGACAATAACAATGTATTAAAAAAATTACATGTAATGTTCCTTAATCTACAAGAATTGTTGAAAATGACTAGCCCCCGCGCGGATGCAAGAATCGAATCTTTTCCTCATCGACTTCCGAACTCTTTTCAAAAACACCAAGATCGTTTCTGATGGCGTTACACCCAGCAAATTGAATGTCTGCAGCCGTTTGTAGTAATCGGAATGTTTTTGATAGACCAACGGAAAGATTAGATTTGTTATTACTTGGTAGGTCCAGTGTAGTACGCTTAGAACTTATACAAAAAACTATCAGGTTCCCACAGCAGTTTAACATTCCTTTGTGAATGTAGGGACAACAAAATCATCCCTAAAGGTCTCAGATTGAAGTTGCCGTATGTAAGTCCACAATGTGAAAGAATAATTGCTAGAGCTGGTCATGCTATGGTAAGAGAAAGAATTCAGTTTCACCTTACATGACATGTATTCTAAATCAATTCTGTTATTATACCAAAATTGCGTTTTTATTTTATTCAATCATAACAATATATTTTTATTGGAAGTTTCTCAGTACAAGTTAAACTAAACAAACCGTATTAAAATCTGAGTAAAAAAAATGAAACAAATAATTCAAATAATGAAATAATATTGTAGTGCAGCATTTTTCAAATTCACAATAGTACCTACATTATATTGAACTTTTGAACAGGACGAGATATCAAGATTGCATAAAATTAACCTAGACAGGTACATTTTTAGTACTTTTTTGAACTACAAGGGCGCCAACAACTTTAAAAAAGTGATCTTGTGATAAACCGTTTAATAGGCATTTCAATTCTTTCTCTCACCCATTTTTTATTTTCTGGAAATCGTATGAACCTTTCCTGAGTAGTAAGCAGTATATTCATTTTGAAGATCTACAAGGAGCAATATCATAATTTCAAGAAAAATATTTAAAACTTACTCCAGCTCATTCCAACTCCATCGTTTATTTTTTGACAGTAATGAAGTTTGATCAAAGAATGTGTGAAAGCTGTTTTCTGGGTTTTTTGGCCGTGCTCTGCAGGTTTATATATCTGAAGTTTCGCGTACAACTGCGGTTGACATTATCAAAGGCTGTGCTCGAGTTGTTTCTGCGAAACTGACTCTGCGTTGGAAACAACGGAAACAATCAACCAAGACCGAGCACCGGCTCCGTCACTGGAACCGTTACCACATCGACGTTGATAAATGTCTACCGCAGTAGTAGACGAATCGCCATGCATAAAAACCAGCAGGCCAGGGCCAAAAAAACCAGTGAAAATAGCTTTCGCACAATTATGAATTCATTTCACACATAATGGAATGTTTATGGGTTATGAGGAATGCGCTTGTTATTAAAATGCCATAAATACACTCCTATAAAATCAATGATTAATAATCTGAATTTGGATGACAGTAAAAGATAGATTACAATATTTTTCTATGATATTCATATTTCTATCGCACCCCTACGAATGACAACCCTCACAAGTCGGAACTTGGGCGAGATAAGGACTAACGAGGTCTTACCTTTTAACGTGTGATTCCTAACACGGATTGGACGATAGCAATTGAAAATCTATTAAAATTCATCAGTTCCATTGGAAACTGAAAAATGTTACAATGAACAAGTCATTTTTTGTAAAAAACAACAATGTTTGACTTTTCTAGAGATTAAAATAAGGTTCTCTATTACAATTTTCTTTTTTTATTGTGAAAGGTAATAATCACCAGAAAAGTCGATAAAAAACTGTACCTAAACTCTCATCTATCAATTTTATTGATTGCAGGAAATAGGCATATGAAACAAAGTTTTGTTCAAACTAGGGAACATTTTCGATATAGATAATACAATACAAAAACAAAGTCGTATGAAGAAATTAATCACGAGAGGGAAAGAGAGAGAGAGATGAGTTAGTTCAATCAATTGATAAGGATTACGAAGTTAGATATTCAGCTGACTCATTCATGTTTGTTGAAAAATCAGATAAGACAAGTAAATCTCCAAATAATCTGACAAGAGCTCTCAGTATGATATTTTTATTGAAAACTAGTAACATTATCATCAGACCTGTTGATCACCTTATACTTGGTAATTCATTTCTTCTTTTTATCTGCTTCTTATTATCAACAGTTTTTGAAGCATCTCATGCCAAAATAACATTCATTATTTTTAACGTTTCCTGAAAGGGATATTTTTAATTTTGATAAGTAATGTATGAGGTTGTTTCAAAAGTTTTATTAAGTTTTATGTGTTTTCTTTAAACTGTGATATCTCTGTGAATATTTATTTAATTCAATCGAAGTAAGCGCCATTTGAATCAAAGCACTTTTGCCAACGGAACACAAGTTAATTAATTCCGTAAAATTTGGGTACTCGAGATTCGATGAAGTAGACGAATGCCGTTTTTGTTTGGTCTTGATTGGCGAAGGTTCAACCAGTGATAAAGCTATCACATTGCTTGAAAAGATGCTAGTCTGGAGATGGAGGTCTGAGGTGTATGGTGCGTGAACATATATCTATTAATAATATTTCAAAATTACGTTGAACACTAATTAAAATGTGTGAAAATTTCGAAGCTGTTAGCAGGATCATGGAAGTAACTCCAATGCCTTGACGCGGATAATCAGATTCAATAATCTTCTCCGTTATAGAACGGAAAGACCACCGTTGAATTCGATTCAGAAATAGTCGATAGATAAGTCTCTCATTGAATTCGCACGATCATGATTTTTACGACACACCTCTCCATCGCGCTGTACAAAGAATGCTCTTATCTATAAAATAAACATTTCGTCTCATCAATCGTGTTGTATAACAGTTCCACGCCTTTCAGATTATTATTTATATATTATTTATTAACATCGGAGCTATCCGAAATAATTGAAAGCAGCGGTGCTGTCATTGTGTCTGTGCCTTCTAGTCACGTCCTAGCTTTGAATTTAATAAATATTTATATTGAAAGGAAAATAACACGATTCATATTGAAAATCATTTGAACGAACTTTTTGCAGTATCTGCATATTTGACTATTGGTTCGTCGCATATACCTACTGTGCCCGCCGAAAATTTTGCACCACATAAAGCTTTCCATTACTTATTTCTCATAAAATTGTATCCATTTATCAACAACAAAATTTACAACCCAAAATCAAGCACAAAGTACAAAAGTCAAATTTTATATACAGGGTTTTCCAACAAGTATTTCCGAACTTTAACAATTGATAACGGCCATCTTGTTGAAACTACATCTGTCAAATTAGTTGTCTTTTATTCAATCTGTTCTACCAAATCACCACGGACGGATATAGCGTTCAACAATACGTGCAAATAATAAAATTGTTTTATCGAAATGGGTGTTCTGTTCAGGGCAACGTACCGCGCGCTTCGCCCATTTTACTGTCACCATAATCGCCCTACCAAGAGGGCTATTCGCAAGATGGTGGATGAATTAGAGTCCACTGATTCAGTGAACGAATGACTAACACTCGTACGTCGACGAAACGCAAAAATCTGCTGAAAACCTTTCTGCTGTCTGTGGGAGTGTGCAGGATAATCCCAGGCAGTCGATTTCGCGTCGCTCATAAGAACTCGGCCTTATGCAGACCACAACATGGCGAATTTAGCGTCGTGACTTGGGCCTGCACCCGTACAAAATCCAACTGACCCAAGAACTGCAGGTAAACAACCATAGACAACGACGCGTATTCGCTGAATGGAGCAGTTGGCAACTGACCCTAATTTTCATCGAAAAATTATCTTCAGCGATGAGGCCGACTTCTGGATGAATGGGTACGTNAAAAACAAAACATAGATATTACAAAGAAGAAAGTATATAAATATGAGTATATTCATGTATAATATAGATACTAGTAAAATACAATTTTTTTTTATTAAAAAATTATTTTTCATTTTTTTTGTAGTAAATACCGACATTGTAATATTTTCCCCGTTTCACTCAAATTGATAGAACTCTTTATATTTTCTTTACATTTCTGTATGAATTCAATAACAATAACAAAACCTCAAAAAATTGTACAATAAAAACTGCATCGACTTTAACAGTTCCCATTGTCAAAAATAATATCACTGTTTGAATTTTGTAGGAGTTTTGAATATACACATTTTGTAAAAATGTTGCAGCTGCCGGACTGATTTATGGCCGGTGAGAAGCACCTCCCTCAAAATGTGCAGTAGATGTGCAGAAATCTGTTATCAGATATCCATTTATTGCTTACCCCTTAATTCGTACTACGTAAAATTGCAAACAAAAGTTTCTATTCCTTTTTTCCTAATACTTTCTTTATTATACACCGACCCAAACGCAGATACGATTTCTCCCACCGGCCATGACTCAGTCTGGTAGCTGTAAGTAGTAACGAAAAAATAGAAGTCATACTGAAGATTCGAATTTTGTTCATTGACTCACGGAGAAATTGAATACAGGACTTGGCCAAAATGCATAATATCATGAAAAGACTTTTTTGGTGTGGGAAAAGTGATTAGACTGACACTACCTTACAAAATATATTATATTTACTGATGAACCTTCTTTTTCCTCAAATGAAACTGTTTCTTCGCAAAACAGCAGTTCGTGGACGAATTAGAAACCAAACTTTCTTTACAATGCAAAGGTCAGTATTCGTTTGAAACTATTGTTTGGTATGCTAATTTTAACATTGTCAGTCTTCATTTCTTTCGGAATAACATAAACAGTGGCCCAAAAATCAAAACTTTAGCACTACCTCTTAACGTGCTGTTCATATCACGGCTATACACCTAATGTTTTTCTTAATTAACATTTATTCTATTTTTTGGTTTATTTTAGAATTTTGTTCAATTATGCTATAAATTACGTTGACNAATAAGGCTCCATCTAAAAATCGGTATTTTTAAATGAAAAATATAAAAATACAGCTTGAATTCATATTCCCAATCCAAAAAATTTTGATCTGATTGATGAACTTTTTTCAATATACACTTCTGATCAAAATGTAATATAATTACATTTGTCTACCCATTGCTTGGGTAGACAAAACGACCTTAAGAGTTTTGTGGAGAAAACTCTTATCTCCCAGAGGAAGGAGAGTCAACACGACTTGTTTGTTTAAATCTTGATCTCTTTACTTTTATAAACCTCATCGACAATATTTATCCCGTTATCATTTTGGGTCGAATTTCCCAACTCATTAAATTTATTATAGAATATACGTCAAGTGGTTTATATTGGGTAACATCGATATTTGTTTTAGCAGCAGCCACATTTCATGACTCGTTTCGATGGAATGTAAACAGATAAGTGGGGCTAATAATGTATTTTTAATCATACAAACAGCCACAAGTACCTCGTGTGCATCACTTGAGATCCTCGAGAAACGTATGGCGATTGAATGAAAGCTTCTTGTACATTGCAGAAACTCTAAATATGAAAAAGATAAGTTATATTGGTTGAAAGTGTTCATCCCGAATTGATCCCAGATCAACGAACCTAGACATAAATAATTAGAAGAAAATAAAAATGAGTTTCTGCTGAAATTAACTCTTTTATTTCAAGATTGATTTCAAAGTAAATTTCAAATTCATAAATCAAAAGTAAAAAACAATTCTAAAATTGTAACCTCATTGTCATTAACGGAACCTTCAAGCTTCCAGGACCTCTTTTTTCAAGCTACTCGTGGGACCATTTATTGACCATGAAGTGACCAAAAAATCCGACCATGAGTCTACAGAGGTGATGAACATAGACAAAACGACCCTTAACATCGGAGCAAGGGATTCTCAGTTATCCAACTCGTAATCCTGTTAACAAACCTAAAAGGCTAGGTAGTGCAGAAGAAAGCGACTTATCGCTTCCTCGACGCAGGTTGTCTCATCAATTTGTCTTGTACAAAATTCTTGAAAAGAAAATGTGCATTAGAAAAGGAAACAAACTCCTCCTGAACATGTCAGCAAACTCTTATGGCCAAACGATGATTTATTATAACCAGAGGCGAAAAAACCCTACATGGTCGAATCTAATCTATCGTCATGCTGAAGTGCAGATGCACTGAAGGTTGCTGCGGTGATTAATGTGGGAATTTGGCCCTTAAACATCCGACAAACTCAATGCCATTATGATTGCTGTAACGGATATTCTAGAAGATGGTCCACAGTATCAGGTACTCATTGGATTGAGAAAAATGTACCATCCAAACGAGCACTGCTCCCAAACACAAGAAATGCAACACTCTTCCTCGACCCCCGTTTCACTAACCAGGAAATGAACCTAGTCCCTATTTATATTCAACAGGGTAATCTATTACTAGGGTAAAAAGGTTGCTGGGATGAATGATTTCAGGTAAAAACTCGCGGGAAATTTCCTCTCCCAATCATTTTTAAAAGAACGTTAAGCAACTCTAGATTTTTCTTCTTGTGTTCTTTGAAACGAGTTCTAATATCTTGCTTAGACTGACAGATACATTATCGGCCATATTCCTCACAGCTTATTTAATATAACCCAACTTTTCATTTTTCAACACTTTATCTGAGTTTCCAAGGCTATTTTCACATTTCCACTTTCTGAAAATGCGATCTAATCCGATATGATAACGAACTTTAAATCAATGTATTATAGGAAAGTAGACGNTAATTTTCTCAACAATATATGGATTGGGATCATATGGTGGGGTAAATTTATTTACATGTTTTTGTTTGCAAATTACTGAATCTCCAACATTCAATTCATGATTTTTAGTATGTAATCTTTCATCTGCATACTTTTTGAATTTCATTTTATTTTTCTCATCAATAATTTTCAAATTTCCATCTACATCTTGATTGGTAATTTCAGGAATAGTCGTATGCATGGATCGGTTGAAAAGTAGTTCAAACGGAGATTTTTCTGTAGTGGAATGTGGAGTAGCTCTATAATTCATTAAAAATGATTCTAATTCATTTTTAATATTTCGTCCGGTTTCAAATTTCTGTAAAAGTTGAGAATTCCTGTGGAAGTTACGAATTCTCGTGGAATTTTAACCAATCAAATTACTGAAAATGTAAATTTAATGGATCAATAGTCGTTTCATGTAGACAAAATTAGGGTTTTTTCATGACCTTTTTGGGAATATTTAGCTTTTGCAGTCTGAAAATACTACAAATATACAACCGAAAAACTTTTAGTTCACCCCGTTGAATTCCATGTAAAAATTCGGATTATATTTTGGACAAAGAAAAATATACTCTTTAACCGTAACTTATATTTGACAATTTTGACTATCAATGAAGATTAAAACTCGAAATTAAACAAGTCGACTATATAATATAGTTTTTCTCCTAAAATTCGTACTATTTATATACTCATGTAAAGTTCGCCATTATAGTTTTAATTTCCATCATATTGTGGAAGGTGAAAGTTCCCAAGAAAGTCAATAAAAATCGTTCAAATAATAATTAAGCAACCACTTCAAACTTATTTGTCAAGTTGCATAGTTAGAATTTCACGGACATTTATTTTTTATATTTTTTGTTCATATATATGTTCATCACTGCATTTTATAAAATTGAATCATCGACGCTCATAGTCATTTTTGAGATATGTGAACATATAATTTTAAACCTTGTAAATACTTCTCTTTAAACTTCTAAAATTCCAAATTCATTNTTGAACTATATCTATATTTTAAGTTTTTTATGATTATTTTCAATTTCTATAATGTAAGTAATATGTTTTATATAATATTGTATATTAGGGTTACCTGTCGGTCTATAAAAAATTCCGCAATGGTATGTCTACCAAACCCATTTCGATGTTTAAAATAATGGTAACATATACTGTGGTAATTGGAAAGCTGTTTAGACAGCATTAATATTGTAGATACAATATTAATGATCATCAAATATGTACGTTAATTACCTTAAGCATTATATACACATTATATTTGTCCTGTACACCATACAATTTAAATTAATATCTAAAGAGTGATGAAGAAAGGATGAAATGGCTCTGGTTTTTCTCTACGTAGTAAATAACTATTTCAAAATCAAAATTGATACTTGTGGACATAATTTATTTTGAGTGAGTTTCATCAAAGGACATTATTTCTAGTTGAAAGCTGATGACAAAAAAAAAACTTAAGCATTATATGGTATGTTACCGATGCAAAGCCGGGTCGGGTTGCTACTCAATCTATAAAATAAAATGAACAATGAATACAGGTGTAGTTTATTATTTCCAATGTATTTGTGGTTATTTGATTTTGACATTACTGAAAGTTTTGTAACTGTGGGTGTTTCTAAAAGTATGTAACATATTCTAAAATTTCTAGAAGGCTGATATTAATGTATGATGAAAAATGAGAATTAAAACTTTCTATGTTTTTACCATATTCATTAAATTTGTTTGAAAATGTCCGTATAGGACGAAACTGCAGAAACGTTAGTTACAAATAAAAGTGGTAAAAAACAAAGAAAGTTTCAATTCTCATTTTTCATGATGATCTTTTACCACGTAGGTAGGCAGGTTCATCCATCAATTTATCAATGAATGAGTTGGAATTTTTTTAGGCATGAAATTAAAATATACTTTGTGCATGATATTCATAATGAAATAGAATCAGAAATGAAAGGGATATATGAGTAGTTTCATTCAGAGCCTGAAATGATTTTTTCTGGAGTGATGCTTTTTTATGAAATTGATATAAATTTTCATCTCGATAAAGTTGTTCAATGTGAATACACCTATTTTGGATGAGAAACGTTTGTCCTCCTCTATTCAGAAGTCAGATGACTCACGGTTAATCCCTATAATATTCGAATTTTACATTTTTTTCTCTTTCACTAATCGGAAAGAGAATATTTATTATCAACGTGACTTAAGGACCATCATAAAGTATTCATCATGCCGGGCCAGGTAAGGAATATGATACTTAAACAATCTTGTACTGCCTGTCTCCAGTTTAATGACTCACTGTTTGTTTGAACCCAACTGTTGAAATTGCAAGCAAAATTTAAATAAAATATTTATATTGCTGTGTTTTGAACATTTTCATTCCTATAGTGCGTATTGCTTTAGTAAGTCGCATGTCTGACAGATTAATAACTTTACTGAGAAAAAAACAAAGTATGCCAGTGTAAGGAATACAGAAAAGGTTAAGAATCAAGATATTTTCGAATTTACAGAGATAAAGCCTCAGAAATAAATCCTTTACAATCGAAAAATCCATTTGCTATGATCGTTAAGGGTTCTCTGCATACAAGGGATATATTTTTGGGAGAGATTAATTTTCAGGAAAGAAAGGTTTTGTCCTACTACTTCTCCATTTTTATGCAAAAAAATTGAAAATCTTCTAAAGAAAGGAAAAAAGCGACAAATGTCTTTACATGATCTACAAATATTTGATAATTATTTGCTTTCCTTCTTTCTTTGGAGGATTCCCACATTTTTTTGTATAAAAGTTGAAAACCTTTACAATTCAATTTGGAATCCTTCAATTCAGCTGTTTCTTTATCGAATACGAAGAATATGATAAATTTTTAATAACGATAATAATAAATAGGCTCTATTGATAATACAAGAAAAACAATACAAAGATATATTTGGAAATGAAAATAAATTACAGGAGATTCTGGTAGCGAAGTCTAGGTCAAAGCTACTCTAACTCAACCAACAAGCATTACTCCATAATGCACGCGAACATACAGAAATAAAAAGAAAATTAACAGTGATGGTACCACGAAATAAGAAACATAAATAAAAATAATAATTTGTGGTTATCCTCTGAAGAGAGTTGATAAATAATTGAATTTATTTGATCTGTTGTTTATCACTGACTACCATAGATATAATTTTAATTTGAATTTCCTGATATTGAATCTCTTCAATTGCTCGGGCAATGAATTATAGAGTTTTACACAACCAAAAAGAAATGCTCTCTGAAACTGTGTAGTGCGATGTTGTGGCATAGTTAATTTGTTTTTGTTTTATGTGTTTATGTTTATATTCACTCAGAATTAGTTTTTGAATCAAANACTGATATATTTGTATAATCTTTATGTATATTAGGACATCTATTTCTAATAAATCTATTTCTATCAATTTTGATAGTAGCACCTCTTATTCTAACCATGAGCTCTCGAACAGACTGGAGTTGTGTAAAATTATACTTTATATTTCACGAATCCACACAAAAAAAAATCAAAGGGCGTCGTATTAGACTTTCCGGAGGATAATTCTGATAGACTACGTTTGCCTATCCACCGGTTTGGACGTTTTTGATCTAGTCACTTTCGAACCAGCGTATCGTGATAAAGAGGTACCCCATTTGGCTGTCGAACATCCGAACCAGAAAGACAGAGGCGATCCCTTGGAAGAGCCCACTACGTCACCTGATATGACGCCTTTAGATGTTTTTGAGGAAATATGTGACATCTGAAGTGCACGATACGTAATTGCACTTTAACCCAGAAATATTTCATAATCAAGGAAATAAATTTTAAAACAGACTTCATTATCATCAAGGGGTGAATGATAAACATTTTGAAGACTTATGGATTGAACT